TACACAAACATGTGTTAACTACACAAACATGTGTTAACTACACAAACATGTGTTAACTACACAAACATGTGTTAACTACACAAACATGCATCAACTACACACAAATGCTGGATCATTGTTTGTGTTTAAAAGAATGATTAAACTTGGTTTATTGAACAAATGTAAATTAGAATAAGGGGTATTTGTGTAAGTTTTATTTGTTGTTGTTTCTGTTTTGTTGTATTTTTGTAACAAGAAGATTATTAATTTCTTCTACTTACTTTGTAAAAAGGGGCAAATGTTATGACTTTTTTCTTCGTTCTGCTGCCTTTCTTTTATTTTGTGATATAAGTTTTGTATTTTTGTAATGTAAACTTTTTGTTTTAAATGAAATGAATAAATCAAATCAAACTACACAAATCATGCATCAAGTACACAAACATGCATCTAGTACACAAACATACATCAAATACACAAACATACATCAAATACACAAACATTTATCAAGTACACAAATATGTTAAGTAACGACGTGTATCAACTACATGAACATGCGCTCAGTACACAAAGGTGTTAACTACATAAATGTGTGGACTACACGTTTTAGTCCATCTGGCATRTCCTGTCAAGGACGTGTTTACAACACAACCGTGTTAACAACACAACAACACTACGTCTCACGCAGTCAGTCCAGCTCCTATCAAGGACGTCCGAAGGTCGCTTCGGATAAACTGAGTAAATTCATGTCTTCACCGTTTAACAGAAGCTGAACCTACAGATTAATGATGAAAACAACTGGTAACGAACTCATTAAMCGCCTTCAAAGCTCCGGAACTTACCTTAACGTCACAACGAGCTGCTGAAACCGAAGTAWCTGAGACCGGAAATGATCGACTTTAATAAGCGCCTCTCTTCCGGTCGGAGCGAGTTGTTAAAGTAGTTTATACTGCCACCTGCTGGACGGAGGACAGGACTGAAAGAGAACACTGCCTTGAACTGTTCAACATTTTGCCACATTTCAGGCATATAKCATAAAGATATAAATTTTTATTTTTTGTGTGAAGACTCAACAACAAGTGGGACACAAGGGACACACATATTAACATTCTAAATTTTAAAACAATAAACATACACATTACATGTTCTCAGTGCTGTGAGAGAAATGTGTAACAGAATGAGAAATCATTACTTGTTGTGCATCCTAGTATCCTGGTCCTTCACTCCTCACTTGAATCAATATTCCTCTTGAACGAGCAAATGATCCCATATTATATGAGAACAACCAGTCAACTATTTGAATTTGAAATAACTTTTACATACAGTTATTTCGAGTTATGGAATATGAACGGCTTTACTTGAATACTTTTAATAATGATCAAAAAAAAATGTATAGGTCCTCTGGACGGGTTCTTCTTTAATGAAACGTTTCGTCTCTCCTCCAAGAGACTTCTTC